GATGTTCAATAAATTATGGGGCTACCTAATGCTAGATGGGCAGTAGATTTGAATGATAATAAGGACTTGGTAGCAAATTTGAAAAAAAATTATACAACAATGTCATTAAATAATTTGAAGAATAAGATAACCTCAGGGTCTGGAAATGAGAAGTTTAAGTTTCATTTTTTGTTGTTCACACTAGGAACTCTATGATGTCTTGGTGAAAGTCCTAGAATTACCGATAAGGCATTAAAGATGTTGGCTTGTACAAACAATGCATAGTCAAAATTTGATTGGGCAAGCTTTGTGTTAAAGGAATTGAAATGGGAGATACGACTCTATAAAGAGAATGTGAAGAAGGGGAAGTCAAAGGCACCAAAATATATTGGAGGAGGCCTTTACTTCTTATTCTTTTTTTTTTTCACCAAACCTTTACTTCTTATTCATAAGCTACATTTTTTTTTCAAAATGTGATAAACCTTGGTTGTTATAATTATTCTAACATTAAATTGATATTTTAGATTTTCTATCTTTAAAATTTTTCTATGAACAAAGTTATACCCCCGGCTAATGATGAAATGGGGCACTAGACTGAAGAAAGCGTTAATGAAATGATCAAGGGTCAGCACCAAAACTACCATGGCCTTTTATATACTAAAGGACCATTCAATAGTAATGGCAACCTTAATGCCTCAACCCACCTACCTCTAATTACTACCTTTCTTGATGAGGAGTGTGTGAATTTAAGTTAACAATAGTTGTGAACCCATTGTTGTGAATAATTGAACCCTTTTGTTGTATAGGATATGAAGGATGTGTATGTTAGAGTGAAGGCTTATATAGAGAGGGTGTGTTTTGTCAATATTAATTTGTGAACCTTTTGTTATGAAATATGAAAATTTTGTTGTGAATAAGTACACCTTGTATGTTGTGTAAGACATGAAATATGCACAAAAGAGAGCCATGTCTTATATAGCTAATAAGCTACTATAGCTACAATCAAAGTGAGCTATCATACAAGAAGAGGAAGACGATAAGGATGTCGGATATAGAAGATAAGAATGATAAGGAGGATGAGGATGGGGAAGATGAAAAGGATGAGGATGATGTAAAAGATAAGGACAATAAGGAGGATGAGAGGGAAGATGACAAGGATGAGGATAATGTAGAAAGTAAAGATGATAAAGAGGATGAGGATGGGGAAGATGACAAGGATGAGAATAATGCAAAAACAGATACAAAAGAACAATAAGAGGAGGAGGATAAAAACATATTAAAAAAAAGAATAACAAGAGGAGGATAAAGAGAAAGATGCAATTGAAAAGGGTAAAGAATAACAGAAATATGAGAGAGATGCATCTAAACATCAAAAAAGGAGAAATCAGATATGGATGCATATGAAGAAAAAGTAGTTGATGAGAAAAGAAGGAAAATCTTTCAATCAGGAGATCTAAGAGGAAGAAGAAGCCTGTTATTAAATCTCTATAGATGCTACTTGTTACCTTGAAGAAGAGGAATCTTACTAACAAGCAATGGTTATATACAACAACAACAACAAGTCTTTATCCCACTAGGTGGGGTCGGCTACATGGATTGCAAGATGTCATTGTGCTCTATCATTTATCAAGCTTTTAGAAATATTATTAATTAAGAGATCGCGTTCAATAACTTCAAGAGTGTTCTCTTAGGCCTTCCTCTACCCCTCTTAATCGGACTCAAAGTTATATGTTCCACTCTTCTTACTGGTGCCTCCCTTAGTCTTTTTTGTACATGCCCAAACTATCTTAACCAATTTTCTATCATTTTTTTCTCAATAGGTGCTACCCTCACTTTTTTGCGTACGTGCTCATTTCGAATTTTATCTTTACGTGTATGTCCGCACATTCATCGTAACATTCTCATCTCTGCTACTCCAACTTTATGCTCTTGCTGTCCCATTAGAGCCCAGCATTCACTACTATATAACATTACCGGTCTGATAACAGTGCGATAAAACTTTCCTTTAAGTTTATTAGGCACCTTACGGTCGTAAATAACTCCTTTAGCTTTTCTCTAATTAAACCACCCAGCTTGAATCCTATGTGAAATATTCCATTGATTTTGCCATCATTTTGAATAATGACTCCCAAATATCTAAACTTTTTCACTTGAGGTATAATTTGATCTCCCAATTTCACTTCTAAATTATTGTCGAATAGTCTCTTACCAAATTTACAATATAAATATTCCGTCTTACTCTTACTCAGACGAAAATCTTTTGACTCCAATGTCCTCCTCCATAACGCAAGTTTGCAATTAACCTCTTCTCTTGTCTATGCTATAAGAACTATATCATCCGCGAAGAGCATACATTTGGAAATTTCCCCTTGAATATGTTCCATCAAAACATTTAGGATCAAGTTGAACAGATAAGGACTCAGAGATGATCATTGATGTAGTCCAATCTTTATAGAAAAATCTTTCGTTTGACCACTAGGCGTTCTTATACTAGTTTTTACCCCCTCATACATATCTTGTATGGCTTTAATATAAGCAATCCATACTCTCTTTTTTTCCAATACTTTCCAAAACACTTCTCTTGGTATACGGTCATAAGTTTTTTCCAAATCAATAAAAATCATGTGTAAATCTTTATCTTTACAAAGATACTTTTCCATTAATCTCCTTAGTAGATAAATCGCCTCTGTAGTTGATCTACCTGGCATAAAACCAAACTGATTCTCAAAAATACTTATCTCCAATCTCAACTTGTGCTCAATTACTTTCTCCCATAATTTTATTGTGTGGCTCATGAGTTTAATCCCTCGATAGTTAGTACAATTCTGAATATCTCCTTTATTTTTATAAATAGAAATTAATGTACTTCTCCTCCACTCATCAGGCATTTTCTTAGACCGTAAAATCACATTAAATAACTTAGTTAACCATCTCACCCCTTCTTCACCTAAACATTTCCACGCTTCGATAGATATACAATCAGGTCCGTTGGCTCTACCATTTGCCATTTTCTTAAGAGCTTCCTTTACCTCCTTATCACGTATTATTCGATAGAATGACAAATTTTGTTCTCCTTCACCAGTTACTAAATCCTCCAAGTTACTAGATGAACCCTCTCCATCATTGAAAAGTTTGAAAAAGTAAGTCTCCCATCTATTTTTAATTTTATCTTCTGTAACTAAAATTCTTTCCTTTTCATCCTTAATACACCTTACCTGTTCTAGATCCCTTAATTTTCTTTCCCTACTCTTGGAAATCTTATAAATGTTTTGTTCTCCTTCCTTCGTCTCAAGGCTCTTATAAAATTCTTCAAAAGCTTTAGAACGAGCTTTACCCACAACTCTCTTAGTTTTCTTCTTAGCCATATGGTACCTCTTCCAATTTTCCTCATTGTTACACAAATGTATGGCTTTAAAACAGTTCTTCTTATACTTGATTTTGTCTTGTACACTATTATTTCACCATCAAGACTCCTTATCTCTCGAACCAAAACCTTTTGATTCTCCCAAAACTACTTTTGCAACCTCCCGTATCTTTTTAGCGATATCCTCCCACATGATGTTAGCACTTCCTTGAGATTCCCAAATTCCTTTGTCCAAAAGATTTTGCTTGAAAATATCTTGCTTCTCACCTTTTAATTGCCACCACCTAATCCTTGGTGCTACTACTTGTCGACGCTTTTGGATTTTACTCATAATACACACATCAAGGACTAAGATCCTATGTTGTGTCGTTACAGCATCTCCAGGAATCACCTTGTAATTTTTACAAAGTCTTCTATCTGTGTTCCTAACAAAAGAAAATCAATCTGTGACCTTAAGGCTCCACTTTTGTAAGTGATGAGATGCTCATCTCTCTTCTTGAAACAAGTGTTGGCAATCTTAAAATCATACGTCAATGAGAAATCAAGAAGAGTTTGTCCTTCACTGTTTAGCTCTCTAAAACCAAAACCACCATGCACCCTCGTATACTGAGCAGCCTCCCTCCCAACATGCCCATTAAAGTCTCCTCCAATAAAAATCTTTTTACTCTGTGGTATGTGTTGAATCAACCCCTTTAGATCCTCCTAAAATAATTCCTTAAGACTGGCTTTTATCCCGACTTACGGTGCATAAGTGCTAACAATATTAACAGTCTCACGTCCAATTATCATTTTTAAGGAAATAATTCTGTCTCTAATTCTGCTAACTTCTACAACATTTTTTTTCTACTCCTTATCCATAATGATGCCTACTCCATTGCGTGCGCTTACTTTTTCCATATACCAAAGTTTGAAACCTTGAATATCCTTAGCTTCTTTTCCACGCCATTTTGTTTCTTGCAGGCAAAGGATATTGATTTTCCTTTGAATCATAACCCCTACAACCTCTACAGATTTACAATTCAATGTCCCAACATTCTAAGTACCAAATCTAATTTTGCTCTTATGGACTAACCTCTTTAACCGCGTCCAAAATGACGCGGTAGCCCTTGCTCATTTAACACTACATCCGGGCGCCGATGCAATGGCTCTAACTCACTTATCACTGTACTCGAGCCATGCAGCGCGTTACTTACGAGCAACGACCTAGCATTAACATTATAACGTCTATTGTCCATATTCATGATAGATTCAACAAAGTTTTACATTGACTATTGATGGCCTAACACAACCCTCCTCCTTTACCCGGGCTTGGGACCGACTATAAACATAGGCGGAGTTAAGCAATGGTTATATACATTCTGCACAAATTGGAATACAACAAAAGATAGTGAAGAGTAAGTGGAAAAACCTTGTCATAAAAAATTTGAAAAAAAAAATCTTTATTGCAAAGTGGTTTTTTTTTTGTCATATGTCACAGGATATTCATCCAAACGTACAACTACAATCTGATGAGGAGTGAGTTGCCTTCTCTCGGACTAGCATCGTGGATCAGTAATTAGGTATATGTAAAAAAATTAAGTCCTATATTTAACAATAAAAGTCTATATATAAATAATAAAATGTCCGTATATAACAATGAAAGTTCATGTCCATGCAGGTAATTACTATGGTCAATAGAATGCTTGTAGGTGAACAAAAGATGCAGTCATCTCAAGTCACGCGTCACATTTTTTATGTTGAATTCATGGCTAAGATAATAAAGAATCCATTACGCTACAATATTATTGATGAGAACACAAAGCAGATTATTCTAAAGCATTTGGGATATAATTTAAGAGACTATGATTTTCTATTTGGGCCTACAGTCATTGGAAACCACTAGTTCTAATTTTATGTTCTTGATTCTTGTGAAAACTGTATTTTGTTCAGGCATATTTTACATTTAATAAAAAAATAATAAATTTAACCCAATATATATATATATACAAAAATGAAATCTTTTTTAAGATTATATTTTCAAAATAAAAAAATTTTATTAATAGAACTTAATCTTTAATCTTTATCTCTTTTAGTTCACTAAAATAACTATATATATATATATATATAAATGCAAAAATGAAATTTGACCTCTTTTTTTTTTAGGATTATACTTCTTTAGAAAAGAAAATAAACCTTGCTTAAATCTTTAAAAAAATCTCTCAATAATTCAAAATATTGGGAGTCAATTTGTAAGAGTTAACTTAAAAAGAAGAAGAGGTGTTCTTGTTTAATTCAAAATTAAATTTTTTTTTCTTTTCTCAATCTAAATTTTGAAATTAATTAAAAAAATAAAAAAAATTAGAAAATAAGGGGAGTAAAATGCTGTAGTCTGTAGCATTTCGCCCCCTTTTTATCCCTGCGTTCAGCTTGGCTGAGGCAGAGCAGCGAAGACAGGAGCAGGCCCTAAAGGCCTTTCAGTCGGTGGAGATGAAGAGAAGAGAGAAATGAGAGGGAGAGGGAGAGAGAGCAGCCCTAGATCGAGCTTTTCGGCTAAGAGAAGAGTAGAGCAAGCTATAGACGAAAGCAGAAGGCGAAACCCAGGATGTAGAGCCAAAGCAGAGCAAAACAAGCAACGCACAGAAAAAATGCACACACACGGCAGTCATGCACGGAGAAAGGAAGAGGAAAGTAGAAGCAAAGACTAGAAGAGAGGCAACTGAATGCAGAGCAGTTCAACCACCCCTAAGCACTTTCAGCCAAACGTAGAAGAAAAGCAGAGGAACCAGAAGAAAAGCAAGAAGACGACAGACGCATGCGAACACGACAAAGATGGAAACTCGACAAAAGGGAAGGAAAAGCAAAACACAGAGATGATGATTTAAGAGGGAAACGTGTAACAATAAATGATTGTTTACCCTCTATATAAAGTCTGAGATTGAGGATTCTGGGGAAGAGAGGGACCGAGCGAGAAGAGACTGAAACATCTATGGGTTCTGAGAGAGGACCGAGAATCTGAAGAAAATCATTTGCTTATGAGATTTGAGAGTAATCTAGGTTGAAGCAAAGGAGGCAAGCTGATCGAATCAAGAGTTTGAAGGGGAAGGAGATACCCATTTTAGTAAAAATTTTGAGATCAATTTGCATGCTTTAAATTATGGGTTTCTAATTTTAAGTTTAAACCTCTCGCACTACCCTGTAAATTATGGTTTCTGATTTTGAGTTTGAAAATTCTTGAATTGTAACTCTCTGAAATTATGTTTAACTTTTGAGCTTCCATGGGTGTTAGTTGAGCAAGTCCTTTATGTTCAGGAATAGTCCACATCCTATATCAAAATTTTGTATCTTCCCAGTTAAATCCTTCCACACAACAATCATATGCTCATTATGACATAAAGACACTACGAACCAGAGAAACAGATCGCTAATGCTCCTCTAAATATGTTGGACCATGCATAATAATTAGTGAGTCTGCCAAGGCATATCCAAAAATTATGGGAATGGAGGATGGTTAAGAAGATGTGTGCAATAATTTAGCATAATTAGTAATTGTTATTTTTCTTTTTATCTATGAGAATAGAAATTGAAGTAGCAGATAGATTTGGGTAAAAATTGCAGATAGAGTTGTGAATGTGAGTATTGCGAATGGAACTAATTAAACCGACAGAAAATTGTTTGTTAGGGGGAGAGCAAAATAGTTTTTGAGCAAGATTGACTCATAGCTGATAGTCAATCTTGTATCTTGAATCCCAGAGTAAAAGTTGACGTGATCTAGATTGTACCAAGGGAATTCACATCTATCTCATTTTTGCCATGAGTATTGGTAAAAATATTGATTTTTAAGCAGTTTTAAAGGTTTGTTTAATGTGATTAATCTATTTAAAACTTATAAGGGAATGGGGCATGATCTTTATTTGCTTATACAAATGAGATTGATTTAGTTATGATACTTTTCCACAAGGTTTTTGGTTCTAACATTTGAAAAATTGTTGAGATTATCGGGTTAAGTGATAAGTTAGATTTAAGTTATCTTTAAACATGAAGGAGTATTGATCAAATTAAGTATGATTTCTATTTCTTTGTTTCTCAAAGTCCTATACTATCTTGCGTTTAATTTCAATTTGAGATTAATTGAATAATTGTTGAAAATAATTTTTATTTTAATAATATCATTTTCATATGGGGATTTTAAATGTGTAGTTAAATATACAATTTTAATTTTTTTATTATTTTCCAAATATAATTATATTCAATTAAAATATTTGAATGGTATCATGAGAGATTTAAAGAATCTCTATAGATATTCAGCTTAGTTGCCTCATTGTGAAGGATAATGAGTCCTCGCAAATGTTGTGGTTATTAACTTATATAATAAATAAGTAAATAAATTTCATAAATAAAATTATAAATGTTTTTTAATAATAAAATTAAATTAATTAAATTAATGTATTAAATCTTTTGGTCATATGAGATTTTTAAATATCTATAGACCTCTAAAATAATCATTTAATCGTGAAAGTCAATAAGACTTCACAGGTATAACGATTAAAATTTTTATATTTAAAAATATAAATTTTATAACTACGTAGTAAAATATATTTAAAATATATATTATTTAATTCTTTATTGTGTAAGGATTTTGAATCTCCATAGATATTTAAGATAATTGTATTATCGTAAAAGTCAATAAGGCTTTACAGGTATGATGATTAAGAGTCTTTTCAAAAAAAAAGTTATATATGTATGAACGTACTAAAAAAATAATGATATTATTAATATTTAAAAATTTAAGTAAATAAACTAAGTTGTTAAACTCTTTATCATGTGAGAGTTTGGAATCTTCACAAATATATAGAATAATTGTATTATCGTATGAGCTAATAAGGTTTTGCAGATATAGCAGTTAAATTTTCAATCATAGACTATAAAAAAAAAAATTTAAACCCTTTACCTTTTTCTTATTCCAAAAATTTAAAAAATAGATAATTGAAATTAAATCACTTTTTTCAATTTAAAACACACATATTAAAATTTTAGAAAATTATTTTATTTGCAAAAGTGGTGAATTATTTTTAATTAATTTCTTTTCAAAAAAATATTTTCTCCAACAAACTTATAATCTCGAACTACGTGGACTTTAATCCTATCACAGGGTATGTAGGCCTCAGAGTTTGATTCAGAGTCAAATCTTCCTTTATAAATAAATAAATATTTTTTTACTTAATTATTATCATTTTTATATCAAATACATGAATAAGAAAGGGATAATTAAAATAATTTTAAAACTATATTAATTTAGCATAACAAATTTTAAATAATCGTTCTCACAAACGGGTGTTGTGGAGTGTCTAACACCTTCCCCACATTCAATCAATTCTTGAATTTATTTTTTAATTTCGCAGACCATCCTTACCTCCTTTAAACGATTTCCCAAGATTTTTTTCAAAATTTTAGTAGCGACTACCATTTCTTTGATCTTCTTTCTAGAGGTTAGAACCTCCACTCCCACGCACCATCAGTATTGCATTTTCAGGTGCGACAATTCTATTGCTAATCATGAGCAATTCATGACTAAGGAGGAAGAGATGAGAAAAGAAAGAAAGAAGGGGAATGGGAAGTTGGCAAAAAGAACGCATCAAGAATCTTAGGTACAAGAGCAACAAAATAATGGGTGTAGGTATTGTAGGCTCTAAAACATTAACCTATCAATAATGAACTTTGACTTGTAAATTTGTGAATCTTTTTGTATATGTTGCCTAACCTATTTCCTTTGCAAATGGGCATTTGATGTCAATGTTGCTCAAGATGAAGCTAGAAATATCTAAGATAGAGTGCAAAACTAATATACTTTATCCATATGTTCAAGCAAGACAACATGCAAGTTATGTTGGTATATCATATTAATGTTTTAAGAAAATTAATGTTGATTCATTATGTGGTCTATGTCGTGATTATTGTAAAGTTTATCTTATTACATGGCTTAAATTTTGGAACAATTTTGTGAATATTAACCATCCTCCATTTACCATGTTTAAATATAAAGCCCAAGAACAATAAAGCATGAGGTGTGACATTTTGGGCTAGCAAATGGAGCATCCTAATAATGTCATAGCTAAATGCACCCTTGCACTTACAGGAGCAACCAAAGGAAAACAAAAATCATAGAATTATGGAATTAGTTTTTTATAGTTAGATGATATATTATTTTAAGATGCTTTTTAAATTTGCAATTGGTTTTTTGTAGTTGGAATCATGTATATATTGTAGTGAAAATGAAATGAAATTATTGAGTGTCCAAGTATTTGACGACAATATCCTTGCATTCACAATACAACGTCCATACATGCATAATACAATGTTCATAAAATCTCAACACATTGTCCATGAATGTTCAATTTGTAATGTCCACCTAGTATTATCAAATTATCAAACTTATCTTGCATAATCATAATCAAAGGTCCCACAAACCTCTGCTTTTATCAAAATTGATAAAAATTTAAAATATAGAAAATAAATACTTTTAAGTGTTTGAGATCCCAAAAATTTTCAAAAACCTTTAAAAATTATCCAAATATATCATTTATTACACAATGATAATATATGAGCTACATAAGCATCGCTCAGTATGATAACCAAAAGTAAAACAACCCACTTTAGAAAAAGAACCATACACCACGACATGTCGTACAGAGCCATGAGCTCCCATGCTATGTCATGCACTATTGCATGTCACCATGCACCACAATAGACATGACAATTTTATGCTGTCATGATAGTTCACAAAAT